TCCACTGAGTAAAGGAAAAATAATCAGTAGGACTTTTTAGGACCTTGATTATATTTTAAGATTCCCTGATGATTCCTGCATAGGCAAGTTTAATAATTGTTATATTTAAGGATGTGTATTGATCAGTCACATACTCTGACCCAACAATTTCATTTCCAAATTTTACTCTAGAGAAACTCTTATATGTGTACATCAAAAGACATATGTGACAGTGTTCCTAGAACACTGTTGTAATAGTAAAAACCTAAGTAACCCAAATGTATATTGATCATAAGATCAATGGAATTATACAGTAGTAGAATATTATCAAGCAGTAAAAAATTTATATATTAGAACTGCAGCTACATGTACATGTGTGAATATTAGAAACATAGGATATGGGGCCTGCCCTGGTGGTGCAGTGGGTTGATCGCAGCATGAGGAAGCTAGCTACAGCCACTCGCCATGAGTCCGACGCCAGGGAGGTGACCCATGTGGCACCTCCTCTCTCCCGCACTGCTCCCTACTCTGCTTCTGGTGAATCCTCTCACCACCCCTGCACCTCTGGACTGTGCCCCAGTTCTGTATACATAAACACATCTTTAAAAACGAAAAGAAACATAGCATTTGTAGAAAGCATTTCCTAAGACTACCAATAGTATGATACCATTTCATAGAACTCAAACAGGCAAAAAGAAATAAGATATTGGCCAGGCATGTATGCAATAGAAGAATAGTTGTTATATCTTGGAGAAGCTGAGGTATAGACGGGAAGAGTACAAAGACATACGCAACAATTCTTTTTCTTAAAGCTTAGAAGCAAGTTACTGGGTTCTTACTAAGTTCCAAATGGTACATATATTTTTGTGCTTCAGATATTGCTTTTGTTTGGTAGTCACCTTTAGGGACACACAGAACATTAATATCTTGATGTAATTGCATCTCCGTTTCACTTATGTTCTTTAATGACTAGCTAAAGGCAGAGTAATCTTACACTTATTTCTAGTCTTTCTTGGGGAGCACCTTCCTATAACAGCTCTTCATGGCTTCAGTCTTATCAGTAAATCCTTTTACTGTGCACAGTCCCTTGTATAACAAATAGTATGAATGTTTGAGTTAGATAAGACCTTCCTTAGATCATCCAATCCTGAAGTTACGAACTGCAATCCTCCATCGGTGGAGACCTACAGATGCCTTCTTTATGGCCATTGATTAATAAAATAAGTTGTCATGCCACTAGGCAAATGATACACTTTTCCTTTTGCCAAACCCCACTCCTCCTATTTTTCATATTCTGCCCAGTGATCAGTTTTCATCTGCCTGACACTTCTGAGCATTTGAATTACTAATAAGCATCTGAACTAGTCCGACCTCCCTTGTCACAGGTAAAGAACCTAGACTAGAGTCCAGTGTGTGTGTGTGTGATGAGATTATGGGGGTTTTGGGTTTGTTGTCTGCCTGGTCATTTCATTCCAGCATATGGTTCCTTAATATAAATGTAAGGTTTTATGTCTGTTATACATTGGTATTGGTAAAAGTTCTTGTGCCTGTACATCTCCCAAGTGAAAATGAAACTAATTGGAGAATATTATTTGATATGTGAGCAATATACATACAAGTTTTGTTTTTTTTTTTAAATAAAGAGACTAAAGAAACTGGACATTTGGAACAGCTCCAACAGAGACACGGGTTAAAAGTCTTCTTGGTCTCCTAACTATTGAGATGTTAAAGAATTTGTTGTCTTGTTTCAGTCTTATATTTGGGATATTGATCTAAAAACAACTCAGGGCCCTCCCCGGTGGCACAACGGGTTTGAAGCACAGTACTATGAAGCTACTGCAGGCACTGCACACAAGTCTGATCCCCAGCCAGGGAGGCACCCTCCTGGAGAGGCAGACCTCCCCTCTCCCGCCCGCTGCTCCCCTCGGCAGTGCATTTCAGTCCATCTGCCTGTTCTACTCCCCATTCTGTCTCTGGTGAATCCGCTCACCCCCATCCCCGGGCCCCGCCCCTCTGTACCCCAGTTCTGTATGCATAAATAAATAAATTTTTAAAAATAAATAAAAACAAATCATTAATTTTGTCTTTCTTTTTCAGCACAGTGTTAGAGGTGTTGTATCTATGGCTAATAATGGCCCAAATACCAATGGATCCCAGTTCTTTATCACCTATGGCAAACAGCCACATTTGGATATGAAATACACAGTATTTGGAAAGTAAGTATCTGGATATGGTTTTCTTCTTTGGAATTTCAGTGCAAAGGATGTGTATGAGTGAATATGGTGGTGGTATAACCGATAGCTGAAAGAATAGTATGAGACTTAATGTACCTGCAGTTAGATTCCACCAGTTAACTGTGGTATAAACTCAGGAATGGTATAAACTCTCAGTCTCAATTTCCTTATTTTAGAAGAGGGGCCAGTACTTGTACACATTGGCCGTAATTCTGTTTTTTAGTAAGAATAGCCTTTTTAGGCCTTCCTGGTGGCCTAGGAGTTAAGTCTCAGCATTAACACAATGAAGGCCCATGCAGTGGCCTGTGTTCAATCCCTAGCCAGGTTGCTAACCACACGGTGCAGCACCCTCTCCTGTTTTACCCACCACTCCCCTCAGCAGTGTACTTCAGTAGTCTTGTCTGTTCTTCTCCCCACTCTGTCTCTAATGAATCTTCTCACCCCTCACCCCCCACACCTCTGGTCTGCACCCCAGTTCTACACAAAAATAAATAAATAAAATAGAATAGCATGTTACAGCAGCTAACTGAAAAACAGTGGCTTAAGCAAGATAAGCTGGAATGGTGGTTTTATTGTATCCTTCATGCCTCTGTCTCTCTTCTTAACCATCTTTACCTTCAACCCTCAGTTTCACTTCATGGTCGTAATATGGGCAGCACTACTCTAATCAGAATATCTATGTTCTAAGTAGAAAGAGGGAGAACAGACAAAGTGCTTATCAGCAAAGGCCACCCCTTTCTAAAGTGATTCCTAGAAGACCAGAACTTAACAATGTGGTCTCCTCTTACTTGTAAAAGGACAGGTCAGAAATATTTGTAATTGGACATATTGACATTCAATGAAAGGAGGTTTCTGTGAGTAAGAAAAGGTAACATTGGATCCTAGAGAAGTATTTAACAGTGTTGGTCAGAATCTCCATTCTAAGCATTATACCCAGGAAATGTTTTTATAAATGAAGAAGTCAAGTGTCTGTTCATTCAACAAATATTTACTAAGTTCATTAAACCAAGGCACAGTTCTAAACTGTGTTAGCAGTTTGGAAGCCAAATTAGGTTAATTAAAAACAGAAGATTAGACCCTCCCTGGTGGTGCAATGGGTTTAGATGCAGCACTGCAAGTTAGATACAGACACTTCTATGCGAGTTCCACCCCGGCTCCAGAGGTGATCCACATGGCACAGCAGACCTCTCCTGACCCACCGCTGCTCCCCTCAGCAGTGTACTCAGCAGTGTATGAACTGCCTGTTCTGCTCTCCACTCTGTCTCTGATGAATCTGCTCACCCTCCTTCAACTCTGGCCTGTACCCCAGTTCTATATGCACAAATAAATCTTTAGAAAATAAATAGAAGATTCCGGGTGTCCCTGGTAGCCTAGGGGTTAAGTCTTAGTGCTGTGATCCTTGTAGCACCTTGCGTTTGATGCCCCAGTCCCCAGCCAGGGAGCTGACCCACATGGAGCATTAGACCTCTCCTGTCTTGCACATTGCTGAGGGGAGCAGTGTATTTCCGTAAATCTGTCTATTCTGCTCCCTACTCTGTCTCTGGTGAATCCTCTTATCCCCACCCTTGCACCTCTGGCCTGCATCCTAGTTCTGCTACACAAAAAATAAATTTTTTAAAAAATAGAAGATTCCGCAACTTTTCTTTATTATATATGTATATGTCTAATTTATATATTATGAATAGCTAATAAAATATTACACACATTTGAGTTTGTATTGTGTGTGTATATGCAAGTCCAAGTTCCATTCCTTTTTCTCTTTTATCACTAATTACCAGGATTTATCTTACTAGATTTGTGACAAAACTGCAGTGTCTAAAACAAAGATTCTTGACCTTAGATCTACTGACTGCTTGAACATGTACCAACAACATTTTTCTGGGAAGGTGGTATGTAGCTCTCTACTAGTTTGCAAAGGGGTCTAGATCCCATCCACTTAACAAGGCATTGCTCCATTCTACATGCCATTTTTTGCCTAAGGCCTATAAATACCCTTTGTTTTTGTTACTGACCTAGAGATTTATCATGCTTTAAAATCTTACAATTTAAAGACCTTAGTTGTCCTACGTTGAGAATAAAGTCAAAAGATTTTGGTTATAGTATTATTTTAGTGGAAACGTAAAGTAAAATATAACTCAACTGCATACTCTTTAAGTTTTAGGAATTGATTTGAGTTGTACTAATATGTATTCTAAAGGTCACTGTTTCTTAACAGTGTTTTTTGTTTAAAGATTTGTTTATTTATACATACAAGAACTGGGGTACAGGCCAGAGGTGCAGGGTTGGGGGGTAAGATGAGATGATTCACCTGAGACAGAGTGGGGAGTAAACAGGCAGATCTAGTGAAATATACTGCTGAGGGCAGCAGCAGGTGGGTCAGGAGAGGCTGCCATGCCGTGTGGGTCACCGTCTAACTGGGGATTGAACATGTGCCGTGGCTGCCAATAGCTTCTCAGTGCTGCGCTTTCACTTGTTTCATCACCAAATGTTTTAACCTAACTTGCCAGAAAATACTTAAAGGATAGCTTGCAACTTTTTTGAGGGGGGTGGGAGGTGTGGAAACATGAAGTGGGTTCGCTGTGTTTCTCCTTTTCTCTTTTTATTAATGCTGTTTTTTGTTGTTCAGAAACAAAAATGTTAAAACAACATATTTAGACAACAAAGTGCTAAATTACCACCCACTTCAGGATCGTTGTGGTACTGATATTAACAGTGTCATCCTGACATTTTCTCCAGGTTATTTCCTATAGTGAAGAAAACTTTTCCTTAGTTGTATTGGGCCCATCTGTAACTATGCTACGTGAACGGGGCAGAATACTATGTTCACATGTTTTGGTGGGAGTATTCCTGCCCAATAACAGTTGTTGTCTATAGGCATAAAAATGGTGATGTTGGGAAAATAATTGTTTTTAAAAGGCATAAAAACAAATATTTGTGTCTAACTTGACTCATAGCTATGTGAGAAAATCAAATCAATATTTCATTGTATATTCAACTTAAATTCTGAGAACTGTAAGATTTATTCCTTTATATTTCAGTCAGGGAATTCTCACACATTATTTTTCTTTCAGGGTAATAGATGGTCTGGAGACTCTAGATGAGTTGGAGAAACTACCGGTAAATGAGAAGACATACCGACCTCTTAACGATGTGCACATTAAGGACATAACTATTCATGCCAACCCATTTGCTCAATAACTATAAAAGACCTAGACAAATAGCTGGCAGACTTCTTTGAGGGCCACACCTATTGTGGTTTACCCAGTTTTGATGATGTCAGATTGTATCATCTTGCTTGTTTACTACTAAGATCTATGAGTTGGTGGTATGACGGGGAGCTGGACATAGTTTACTCCTAATCTAAGAGCATATACTTTACTACAGCTATTATCCAATGTATTATTTTTTAAGTTTTAATTTTAAAAACTATGTAAACATTCATTTTTAAATGGTGAGCCTCAAACCTGGCATTTTTGAACACATACACCTTTGTGTCAATTACATACTCCTATCCAAGTCCTAGAGTTTTATATTCCACTAATTAGTCACTTTGTGCAGTTAGAAAGAGACGGTCTGGAAAGGCTAGCCAATCCATTGCTGTTTTCTCTGTCTAAGTTCTGGAGTACAATAAACAGAATTTCCCAACTGATTTTCTTCTTTTTATTAAGAAAAATATTTGGGACTCTCCCTGGTGGTGCAAAGGGTTAGCACACAGCACTGCAAGCCAGCCGCAGCTGCTTCAGTGTGAGTTTGATCCTGGGCCAGGAGGTGACCCACATGTCACGGCAGACCTCTCCTGTCTCACCCACTGCTCCCCTTAGCAGTGTACTTTGTCCATCTGCCTGTTCTGCTCCCTGTCTGTCTCTGGTGAATCCTCTCACTGCCCCTGCACCTCTGGCCTGTACCCCAGTTCTGTATGTGTAGATAAATCAAATCTTTTTTTTTTTAAATTATTTATGCATAAAAGAACTGGGGTGCAGGGCAGAGGTGTGGGAGGTGAGAGGATTCACTCGAGACAGTGGGGAGCAGAACAGGCAGACTGGCTAAACCCAGTTCAGACCAACTCAGAACAAGTTGAAAGTAGTTCTGACCACCTGAAACTGGTGCTGACTGGTCCAAACAGCTAAGACCTGTCCAAAAATGGCTGAAAATGGTTTGAACTGGTTCCAACCCACTGAAACTGGTTCAGTCTGGCTCCAGCTGTTTTAGGCTTCTGTACAGAAGTCAAACCAACACCAACTGAACCTCATACTGCTGAGAGCAGCAGGCTGGACAGGAGCGATCTGCTGTGGCATGTGTGTCAGCTTCATGGGCACCCATGGGTCAAAGTGGTGCAGCAATGGCTGGCAGAAGCTTGCTAGACTGTCTTTAACCCCTGTGCCACCTGAGAGACTCCCTTACTGATTTTCTTTTTTTTTTTTTTCAAGATTTATTTATGCACACAAGAACTGGGGCATAGGTCAGACGTGGGGGGCGGGAGGGAGTATTTACCAGAGATAGAATGGGGAGCAGAACAGGAGGATCTACTGAAACACACTGCTGAGGGTAGCAGCTGGTGAGATAGGAGAGGTCTGCTGTGCCATGTGGGTCACCTCCCTGGCTGGGGATCAAACTTGTGCTGAAGAGGCTCTGGACCACTTCATAGAGCTGTGCTTTAACCCATTACGCCACTAGGGAGGCCCCCCCGTAGTGATTTTCTATGGGAAAAAATATACAAGTGTATCTTTTAAAATATTATGTGACATAGTTCTACAGATGATCTGTTGGGAGATGCATTTCTAAGAGCACCAGTTGGAGAGTAGCTCTGCCTCTACTAATGACTTTAGGCAAGTTAACATCTCCAATCTTTAGTTTTACCACCCATAATATTCCCTCATAATACTACTGTGAGAGTTGGGCCCTCCCTGGTGGCTCAAGGAATTAAAGTGCAGCACTATGAAGCTATCCACAGCCAGGGCAGCATGAGTTTCATCCCATCTCACCTGTCCTGGCCACTGCTCCCCTCAGCAGTCTGCCTGTTCTGTTACCCACTCTGTCTCTGGTGAATCCTCTCACCTCCCTCTGGCCTGTGCCCCATAGATAAATGTATGCATAAATAAACAAATCTTTATAAACAAAAAGAATACTGTGAAGCTTTACTGTGTGTAAAGCTTCTGGCATGTATTAAGTTTTATATAATAACTAAGTTCTATAGTACGTCTCCTAACATCTGCTTCCGGCATGGTTCTCACCTAATCAGGCCATTTCAGGTTCTACTGTTCATTCTATCAAGAACCATGTTCCCCTCTGTGTCTAGAGCATCTTCATTAGATCATGGGTATTCCTAAGTCTTGAGTATTTCTTGCACTCTTATCATTTCTGCAGCTGGTTGTTCTGATTTTCTCTTAAACTGCTCTAGATATAGCTTACAGTAACCCTCTTGTTACTGTTTCTACTTTTCCACTGAATGAGGTTCCAGCTATACTGATACCCTCCCTTTTGGTTTTACCTTAATGTTAATCATTTAGGTTTCTATAATTAGTATTAGAACCTCTTCCTCCAGAGTTTTGCCACCTTTTGTACCTGAAACCATTCTTTTTCAAACATGCCATTAAGTTTTTGTTATTTTTAAAAAGATTCTATTTATTTATGCATGCAAGGACTGAGGTGTAGGACAGAGGTGCAGGGGTGAGAGGACAGGGTGAGGAGCAGAACAGGCAGGTATACTGCAATACACTGCTGAGGGGAGCATTGGGCGAGACAGGAGAAGCCTGCTGTACCCAGTAGCTTGATACCACTGAGACTTAACCCCTGTGCCACCAGGGACAGAGGCCACTTTGCCATCATTCTTAAGATACTTTTGCTGACTGTCAGGATATTTTTGTACTAATGGGCATTCCCTCAATTTTTATTCTAAACATCACCTTTTTTGGGGGGGGGGTGCTGTTTTGGTTCTTAGAGCTTAATCTATACTGTCTGGTTAGTTAAAATTGTAAGGATTTCATAGATAAGAAGGTATGCTGGCCTCCCACCCTAGGCCTAGGGTTAGCATCACAAGGGTCACAATTCAGAACACTGATTTCTTTTTTTTTTAAAGATTTATTTATTTGTTCATACAAAACTGGGGTACAGGCCAGAGGCTCAGGGGCGGCGAGAGGCTTCACCAGAGACAGAGTGGGGAGCAGAACAGGCAGATGGACGAAGTACACTGCTGAGGGGAGCAGCGGGCGGGTCAGGAGAGGTCTGCCACGCCATGTGGTCACCTGCGGGGCAGGCGGGAGTAGAACTCATGGGGAAGTGGCTTTAGCTTCTTAGTGCTGTGCTTTAACCTGCTGTGCCACCAGGGAGGGCCTCTTTTTTTAAAAAAAAAGATTTATTTATGCATACAGAACTGGGGTACAGGCCAGAGGTTCAGGGGCAGTGAGAGGATTCATCAGAGACAGAGTGGAGAGCAGAACAGGCTGACTGATAAAGTACACTGCTGAGGGGAGCAGCGGGCAGGTCAGGAGAGGTCTGCCGAGCCATGTGGATCACCTCCTGGGCAGGGATTGAACTCTGTTGAAATGGCTTTAGCTTCTTAATGCTGTGCTTTAGCCTGCTGTGCCGCCAGGGAGGGCCCAGAACACTGATTTTATCCATTCACACTGAGTTGACTGGATCACACTAATCACTTTAGCAGTTAGGTGATTGATGTTCTAATCAATTTATTTATTGGCAGAAATTATAAATAAAAAATTAGAATATTGTTGATCAACCCACATTTTCTTTATAAAGAAAGTAATACTGTTCCACATCTAGACCAGACAGACTGGCAAACTATAGACCTCAGGGTAGCCAGCTGCTTTTGTAAATAAAATCTTGGAACTCAGCCAAGACTTTATATGCATGTATGGGAATGCATACATATATTGCCTCTGGCCTTGTCCTACAAAACTAGTTTTGACTGGTTGTGAAAGAGACCAAAAATCCTTCAGGCCTCAACTATTCTCTGGGTCTAGGCTGTAGAACTTGCCAAATCTCATGGTTTCATAGCAAAAGGATTTAAATGTGTCAAGGAGTGGTATAAACACACTGCCCAGTACCTCTTTACCACTCTAGAATTGTATCTTCATCTATCCATTGGAATACTTAAGTCTTGCTGATCTTATTTTGGACCTCTCTTTTGCTGATCTTTGGCTAATGGGGAACTGAATAGTTAAAATTTATACCTGATTGAACTTGGGAATTTCCAGATCCACATAACAACACATTTGTAGCTATCACTGTTGGGTATTTCTGAAGACTGTTTATTTTGTTTGAACACTTAAAACTAGCAAATAGTTTATTGACTTTCCTCCAGACCAGTGAATAGGACTCTGTACTCTGGTTAAATAACAGAAATTTGTTTTCTCATAGCTCTAGAGATCAGAAGTTGAGATTTAAGCTGTCAACAGATTTTTCTTAAGACATTATCCTTGGCTCGTAGATGACCATCTTCTCTACTCTTCCTGAGGTCTTCTTATGTGCATGCCTGTGTCCTAATTCCTATAGAAAAATGCCAATCATTAAATTAGGGTCTACCTAATGAGTCTATTTAACCTTCATTACTCCTGTAACAGGCCCTATCTTCAAATAGTCATTTTTCTGGTGGTTACAAGTTAGATCTAAAAATTTAGGGGAGGATATATATATATATCATATATACATATATATCATATACATATATATATATGCATATATATGGATATATATATCCATATATATATATCCCCTCCAAACTCTCAGTCTACAACATGCACTAAAGGACACATTATCCCTGATTAGTAATTGATTGGATTGGGGGTTTTGCTAAATTAAATTAAAACCATTTTGGAAAGCAGGCTTGGCAGTATGTACTAAGAATTTTTTCAGTGTTCATTGTCTTTTACCTTCTAGTTTTACCATAGGGATTTCTCCTAAAGAAATTACTGTACAATAAAGTAATACAATACAAAACAAAACAAAACAGACATTATAAACCAGAGATAGCCTACAGGGGAGGGGGAAGGAAGGAGGGAGGAATGTGGAGGACTGTTGATGAGGAGAGAACAAATTAGGGAAGGTGGGAAGTAAACATTGTTTTAAAAGGAGCAACAATGAAAACATAAATTAATTAACTTTTTAAAATCTTGTTATAGGTGGTATTTTATTATATTTCAAATGTTTTATGAAAACACTGGCTTAATTTCTGCACAAAATCATTCACTGCAACTTTTTTCTTTATCAGAATATGGGGGATGCCCATCTTATAAGATTACTGTTAAAATATACAGTGCCTAGTGATGGAGGGAAAGAATAGAAAACCTGAAGGAGACATCACAAGGTTAAAACTCTACTCATACAAGGATGTGAGGTTAGAAGGATTAACATGACCAGTAACCCAGTCGTTGAAATCAGGACCTTTAGTGCCTTATCACAAGGCATATAGATGATCCACACAGATATCAGACTGCTGTATTAGACTGCTGTGGGCAGTATCAGAAGCCCAGACTTGAAGGTGAAGATATAGAGATTGGACACATTGGCCCATTGTGAAATCTCAGGTCCCTTTATGATTCCACAGAGTTATCCAAATCAGCAGCAAACAGGCCACTCCATTAAAGGAGTGACCCCTCCCAAAGAGAAAAGGACTGTATCAGTGTAGTCTCTGCTCTGGCATGGGGTGGCAGTCCTGCCCACCTGTGACTATGCAGGTGCTTTTTCCCACCAACTCTCCCTGTGTGGGGCAGCAGCCTCAGACTGGTACCAGGCTGGGGCTTCCCTTCACTGACCTCCCTCAGCAGACGCTACTCCTGCCTGTAGCCACGGAGGCCCCTCTCAGCAAACCTGTTCCTTTTGGGGCAGCTCTTCCTGCCCACTTGTATCTAAATAAGTGTTCTTTATTCCTCTGTCCCCTTTCCCTGATAAACTTGCTCTTAAAATATAACATTTCTGTCTTGTGGAGAAAAGCCTGGGAAATTCATTGCATGCCTCTGAAAGGGGAGCTCTGGTAAAACTTCTCCCAGAGTGAACCCAAGGACCCATACTCTAATTTCTAAAAACTATTATCACTTAGCACAGTGACTAACCATTGTGATGAGCTATTATCCTCCAAAGTGTGGGATTTACTAGCTTTGCTTTTAAATGTGCTACAAAATACAACTTGAAGAGTTGTAAATTTTTCAATTTACTCTGATTAATTTTTCCTTCTCTGAAATTATTTACCTTATAATTAGAGATCCTGACTGTCATATAAAGGTTTAGGTATCAATGGCTTTAAAGTTTTTTCAAATCCACTAAGAGAGTTTAAGAGAAAAAGGTTTAAGAAATTCAAGCAACCACAGGAATCTTGGGCATGTGAATTTATCATCACTTCAGCTGCATTAATTGTGCATCTTTGTAAGACTGGCTATTAACACTGGCAAATACACGTTTTAATTTTTAGGTTTATACATCAGACCAGCAAAATCATGCTGTATTGTTATTTGTAGTGTTTTTATATGTTTTCCACTAATTTTGGAATAAGCGAGGATTGTTCTCAAATGACAAAAAGGATGATAGCAAGTCGTGGGGATCAGGATTGGAAATTAATGTTCCATCAAATTGCAGTTTGGTGATTTTAAGGTGAATTTAACTGTAAACCCAATGTCCTATTTAAACAAGTGGACTAAATTTCAAACTGACATGTCCTGCCTAACATCTGGTTTAAACAACTTGGCCCACCACTCTGACCAGAGGCATCATACTTAGATGAAAGGTACTATGTCCTGACTAACAAACAGTTAGTGAAAATCCTGAATAACAAGATCTCCTTAGCATGTTAAAACACAATCTTCTCCTTCTGGTTAGCATGTTAAAACACAATCTTGGGCCTCCCAGGTGGCGCAAGGGTTTAAAGTTCAGTGCTATGAAGCTATCTTACAAGCAGCCACTGCATCATGAGTTTAATCCCTGCCCGGGAGCTGACCCACATGACGCAACAGACCTCTCCTGTCTTGCCCACTGCTCCCCTCGGCAGTGTATTTCAGTCAATCCGCCTGTTCTCTTCCTCACTCTGTCTCTGGTGAATCCTCTCACCACCCCCCCCCACACCTTTGGCCTGCACCCCAGTTTGTGTGTGTATAAATAAATAACTCGTTATAAAAAACAAACAAACAAACAAAAAACCTCACAATCTTTTGAGACTCGAGTTTATTAAGACATATACTTATGAAGAGGCATGTCACTTCTGCCCATGTCTGAGTATGGCCCAACTATGATGTTTTTACCCCTTTTACCTCTACCTGGTAGAGTAATCCCTTAAAACCCCTTTCAAAGCTTCAGTCCTCTGAGAGGCAGGCTGGAAATTTCCTCTGCTGGTGCCTGCCTCTCTTTTGCACAAACTTAATGAAACCTTGTCTGGTTTTTGCTTGTCTTTTATTTTACAAAGAGCCAGACCTGAAAGGCCTGTAACAGTTTTTGTTGTTCAGAGATTGTTTCCTCATAGTCTTCTCTCCATAACATTCCACTTCATCGTTTTACAGTTCACTTGGCCTTAACACTGCAGAAGCCTCACTTAACAAAATTTTGCTTGTCTGTCAAGAGTCCCTAATTCCTTTCTGCATGTTCTAGCTCACTGACTTAAAAGCTTTGGGGACATCTTTCCAATCCTTTTCAGTATGTATGAAACCCAGCCACTAAAGACTTAACTAGTTTTAAATATGTCTCAGCACCTTAGTGAATGCAGAAATTAAGACAATAATATGGGCATATTTGTGTAATATTAAAAAGCAGTTTTTGTCTTTGTAGCCAAGGCACAGGCTATGTCATACTCTGCTTCCCTCACTTTTTCTTTCTAGAATTCACAAATACAACTCTTAATTTCAAATTAGTTTGAGGGGGGTAAAATTTGGTTAATTTTTAATTTCCAAAATTTTATTGATGTAACATGGGTTTAAAACATTCCACAGGTTCAGCTATGCATCACTACAAGTCAACACCTGTAACACAAATGTAATTTTTAATCCCTGCCGCGGGGGAGGGGTGCCCAAATACAATGTTTAATGCTCATGGATAGCATTCTCCCCAAGTTTCTCGCAAGCTGATAGGAGTCAACATGGCGGCAGTCAGCTTCCCTCCCTCCACTTTGTAGGTGCGGCTCTCGCGCGTGCGCACAGACGCCCTCCTCCCCCGCCCCGCCCCGCCCCGCCCCGCGGCCAAGACGCGCTCGCTGCGTCATCAGTGTTTTCGAGTAGAGTCGAACACTGCGGCTGTCAGCTCCATTTTGTTGTGGGAGCCCGCCGCAGCCAGCTGGTTTCCTGACGTTGCTTTCCGAGCTTTGTCTCTGCCGCTTTGGAATCTCTAGCCGGGACGGTAAGACGCGGGTGGAAGGGACTAGGTGTCAGGGCTCTTTCTGCCAGACGAACCCCTGACAATGCCCCCCCTTTTTGGGGGGGCCTCAGCATCTCTTTTTGCTTTCACCCCGGGCTGCACAAAGGCGACCCGCTCAGCTCTTCATCTCTCCAAACCTCGAGCACCCCAACTCCTCCCCAGAGCTGCCTATGGGGCCGCGTTAGTGTCTGCTAGGTGGAAGCGCAGCTCGAACGTCTGCCGCCCGCGGGGAGCTGGGCTGGGAGCGCCGGGCCGGCGCCATGTTGTCCGCCGCGGCCGGGCTGATGGAGCTGTAAGATGGCGGCGGGGGCGGAGGCTGGACTGCGCCCGCTCGCCGGAGAGGCGAAGCTGTCTCTAGTGGGTGACCTTTACTGCGCTTCTGGCGTGTGCCGAAGTCCGGGCACGGTGTGGAACTGTATGGGTAGCAAATGGACGGCAAGGCCGAACACTCTCACCTGGGCTGAGACCCTGCCGTTTACTGTCGAGTTGAGTCTTACACAGGGTTGAAATTAAAATCGCGAGTGTCTTTACCCTCCCTGACGTTACAGAAATCAGGTTTACGAACCTGAGGAAAGAGATCGTGATAGATTGGAAAGTCAGGCGGTCAGGCGTTTTGGGTGTTGGCATTTCTGAGCCCCCTTGCCTTCCAGCCTCCGGTGATACCACTCCGAGCGTTTTCGATTCGGTTGTGAACGGAGAGGTGGAGTTCGAGCTATTAGGTTGTTGTTTGCAAGTTGTCAGCGATACTTCCTGTAAACATTACTGAAAGGAAGATGGATTTCTCTCTGCCTCCTCCCCTCTCCCCCACAAGTTGTGCTTTTGTGCAGTATGGTAAACTGGGTCTTGTTTTACAGAGTTTTGTTGGGGGATGTACTTATGTTTCTAATGCCATCGTAGCCTTTGTAGATCGGTGGTTTATCCACTTTACACAGATAATTATGTTGGTATTTATAATGGCAAAGAGTATTTATAATTGCATTTCAGTTGGGTGTTAGTCTCTAATACGTTTAGATGCGGAAGATTTATATATATGTGTACCTATAAAAATTTGTGTTACAGGCAGGATTTTGCTAAAGTTGGTGAATTAGAAATGCTCTCCCATTTTTTCTTTTACACTTCAACAAATCTGAGCCTGTGATGGATAATACTGCAGAATACCTGTGATGAAGTTCCACACTCCAAATGATGGAGCAGGAAATTAGGCTTATCGGTGATTTCAAACTGAGTGACGATGACTTGAATTTTGATATAGTTTACTGCTAGAGTGAATTTGAACCGCTCGTTGTTGACGTGTAGGATACAATTTAAATGGGAAAAATTTTTTTTTATGTAGATGAGACACTCAAAAAGAACTTGTTGTCCTGATTGGGATGAAAAAGAATGGGACTGTGGAAAGTGGAGGAGCAGCAGCTGCCATAAAAGAAAGAGGAGATCACATAGCAGTGCCCAGGAGAACAAGCGCTGCAAATACGATCACTCTAAAACTTCTGATAGGTAAGGCAGGCGCTTCAGGTGTCTCAAAGAAAACCATACTTCACCACTGTTGTCAATTATTGTATCTCAATAAAACCAGGGGAAAATATTTTTGTGATAAGTGATGGGTTATTCCTTTCTCTTTCCACCAGTGATAGCAAGTGCTGTCTCTAGAGATTTGTGATAATTTGAGAGTATGTGATACTACTATAAAGCATTGAAACATGTTATTTTTTTCTCTAGCCATTATTTAGAAAGCAGATCGATAAACGAGAAAGAGTATCATAGTCGTCGTTATGTTGATGAATACAGAAATGACTACAGTCAAGGATATGAGCCTGGACGTCACCATAGAGACCATGAAAGCAGATATCAAAATCATAGTAGCAAGTCCTCTGGTAGAAGTGGAAGAAGTAGTTATAAAAGCAAACACAGGATTCACCACAGTACTTCACACCATCATTCACATGGGGTATGAGCTCTTCTAAAACATTTTGGACATTTAGTTCCCATGAGGAACAGGAAAACTTAAATTTGTGCTTGTTTATTTGAGAAAGATGAAGTCATCTCAATTTTAACTTGCAGGATTCTTTTTTAAGTTTATGTATTGGTAGGAAATTCCTGAGATGCACTACATATTTTATTCTTCAGTAATAATTCTGTTGTTGGCAACTAATTGTCACTCCACAGAAATAGTGGAGGTAATTAGTTTATTTTAGGTTAATTTATTTAACAGTGATTAGAAGATATTCTGATTTTTAAATAATAATTCAAGAGATTTATTTTGATAAGTTGAGGCCTTATCACATAAATACATTTGGCATTTTATTTTTGTATGATTGAAAGTTGGGTGCCAGCTGATATAGCAAAGCATGCCCTGTAATCCTTTTTCGCTAAGCAAGCCACTTAACAGATTAGAACATGATGAGTTATATGTTAATTTGGAAGTCAGCTCAGATGACATTTAAAATGCCTTAGTGTTAGTCATATATGTCCAGTCTTTTTTCCTTCCCAAAATTAGGGCTTTAATTTTATTTACTGTTTTAATATTTGTTTTCTTAGATTAGGGAATCTTAATTTGGCCACAGTCTAGACTGACAAGTAAATACCTCCTACAACTTTGCACATTAAGACACTAGAAACTTAAAATTATGTTTCAGTGAATGCTACAACTAAGCATTTTTTTTAAAAGAAAACAATTGTGTTATGTTTTGTTGCCTTGCCACTTTGAGTATCTTATCTGAAAATCTGTTCCTTGCCATGTTTTTCTCCTGTTAACATAAACTATGTGCCCTGTGAATTTCTGGGGACTGAATTTGAAATTGCTCCTGCCAACCGTTTGTGGCCTGGCGTGTATCTGAATGCCTGAATATCTCCCCGCTGAATGAATTTCGTATTCTGCCCTGAATTCACTCGGGTATATTGATTGGCTGGATGATCTTGGTGCCGCCCACTTGACGTTTCCAGAAGAGTCACCGAAGGAAAAGAACCAGGAGTGTAGAGGATGATGAGGAGGGTCACCTGATCTGTCAGAGTGGAGACGTACTAAGTGCAAGATGTATAGAATATTTTTCAACACTTATTAACTTTTCAGATAACATAATCTATATATAGACTAAGATTTCAGGGATTTGGAAATCTTATTTTCTTTCTCTTTTTTTTTGTTTTTTGTTTTTTGTTTTCATTTCTTTTGGTGGGGGGGGATTGTGTTTTGCTTTCTTTAGAAATTTAATGTTTGTTATACAGAACTTCCAAAATAGTAAATCATGTTAATGAAACTATCTTAAGAATGAAAATAGACCTAAAATAGTTATATATGTTTTTTGGCAGTGTTGACCAATAAAATATCTAGTGATAAGGAAATTTGTAGCATCAACTAGAATAATCTGCATTGATAGCATTTATTATGATAAGTAAAATGTTTCCACTTCCTGGTATGACTGAGACTTGTATCTCTCTTTTAGATGAAATTGTTGATACTTTAGGTGAAGGAGCTTTTGGAAAAGTCGTGGAGTGCATCGATCATAAAGCGTAAGTTACTATCCTGAGATTGCATTTGAGGGGGTCAATAGTGCAGAAATTTATTTTGTTTTAGAATATGGTACCAGAAAAAAGCATTGGCTCTTTGTATTTTTAATCATTAGCTACGGATAATATTTGCAGTCTCTTAATTTTAATGGTGAGGTGAGAACATATTTTATTGTTTCAGGGAATATTTTTTGTTGTCCCACTGGACAGTTGGGAAATCCTCAGCCATAAAAGCATCGATTTTCACATTAGGAACTTTGCTTACCTAGATTGCTGACACAATTTTCAGGGTGGTTACCTAGAAGCCTGTATTTTTGGAAAGCTCCATATTTTGTCCTAACAAGATGTCGAGGGCTGAGTTTTTTTTTTTTTTTTTTTTTTTAATGCATACAAGAACTGGGGTACAGGCCAGAGGTGCAGAGGCAGTGAGAGGATTCACCAGAGTCACAGTGGGGAGCAGAACAGGCAGATGTACTGAAATACACTGCTGCCGGGAGCAGTGGGCAGGTCGGGAGAGGTCTGCTGCTGTGCCATGTGGGTTACCCCCTGGCCAGGAAGTGTTACAGTGGTGGCTCATCATTACATAGTGCTGTGCTTCAACCTGTTGCACCACCAGGGAGGGTCCAAGAGCTGAGAAAATTTATTAGTTGGTGCCATACTTTAATATTCTATTTCCATTAAACCCCTGATTGAAATTTATGATAGTAAGGGAAGTTTTGGCTTAAGTTTTTTTTTTTTTTTGGTTACATGTTGTCCTGCTTTTCCCTTCCAAATGATAGTTTTTTTCTAAATGAATTGTTGGAAGAGTCTTCCTACTATTGCAAGGTTTTAAGAATTAGAGTTCCTACCTATGCCTCCACACTTTCCCACCTCTTCTGGTAACCTTGACTAAAGGAAGATTTGATAAATTAGTTTATTAGTCATTGGGTATCATAGGATTAGAAAATTCATTAGGTACATTTTTTGGGAAGTTGAATCTTAGCCAAGCTAATTGAAATAGTATATTCTGGTTTAATTAGAATAGTTGAAGCAGTCTACTTGAAGAACCAAAAAGTAATTCATGTGAATGGTGGTCTGATAAAAGAAGCTTGTGTCATTTAGCACGTTTGTATTATCAATCAAATGACCAAAGAGCTTCCTCATTGCTTAAATTGAGTTGTAGTTAGAAGAGAATACTTACATGTGATCAGGTAACCTGAATGCTACACCATAAATTCAGGAAAACAAACACCTTGGGTGAAACTACAGTAGTGCATGGTGTTTCTCAGCGCCCAGCACCCACAGCAGGCTCAAGCATCTGTTCAAGGCATGAAAAATAGATGGTGTTCACATGTTGGGGGGCAGGTAGGGAGAGAACAAGTAGTGCACTTTGAAGAGATTGTTAGAGAAAAAGAAATGAACATCACTTATGTTTCTTTTCTAATCTGGATTTTTTTTTAACAGGGGAGGTAGACATGTAGCAGTAAAAATAGTTAAAAATGTGGATAGATATTGTGAAGCTGCTCGCTCAGAAATACAAGTTCTGGAACACTTAAATACAACAGACCCCAACAGTACATTGTAAGTATCAAAATAGAATTTGGAAGAATGTTACCAGGTAGATTTTGGATTATGAAAAACTGTACTCAAGTTACTTTCTACATATTTATAGCCGCTGTGTCCAGATGTTGGAGTGGTTTGAACATCATGGTCACATTTGCATTGTATTTGAACTTTTGGGACTTAGTACTTACGACTTCATAAAAGAAAATGGTTTTCTGCCATTTCGACTGGATCATATCAGGAAGATGGCATATCAGATATGCAAGTCTGTGAATTGTAAGTACTTGGCATATCTTCCAGAAATTTGAGTATATTGAGGCTTATTGCCATACTGTTCTGGATCATTTTTAAAGAAAAAGTTATCTAGCATAAAGAAACTAGAAGCATGACTAAAGAATAAGTATGAGAGCATGATGTTGTTCAGTTCACTGCATTTCTTTCAGTATGTTGTTCAGCATGAAATGGTCTACTTTCCTGTAACCTATGGGTTAGCCTTTCTGATTCCTGAAAAAGTTTGCCCATACCATTATGCTAGAATTAGGGACTAGTGTCCATTCTCAGCATCACAAGAGAAAGATGCTGAGGGTAGAGAGGGGTAGCAGGTTGTAGTCCCTGATTATTTAGCAGGCAACTGAATGATCACTTCTTTGAACGTGTGGAAAAGGTATATCAAAGAAGGTTTTTTTGTTAGGAACTTCCAGCTTGGTTTGCCTACATTTGGGAGTGGTTGGCAATATTTTATATAACAGCAACTTTTTCTGTTTCATTTTCAGTTCTGCACAGTAATAAATTGACTCATACAGACTTAAAACCTGAAAACATCTTATTTGTGACATCTGACTACACAGAGGCATATAATCCAAAAATGGTATGTCTTTAACCTTCACAGCTTCAGTTGAATATTTTATAACTTAATATAATGCTTCCTTAACTGACGTCATTTCTGTTTTTCAGAAACGTGATGAACGTACTTTGATAAATCCAGATATTAAAGTTGTAGACTTTGGAAGTGCAACATACGATGATGAACATCACAGTACGTTAGTATCTACAAGGCATTATAGGGCACCTGAAGTTATTTTAGGTAAGAATTTCTTAGCTTTGCTTGGGAAACCTCTGCATAACTTTACTGAAGAAATTGACTTTAAAATACATTTTTTTAAAGATATAGTTCTAAGCCTTAGATCTTTATCTTTTCCCAGGATTAGTGTCAGAAACTTATGGTTTTTTTTTTTTTTTTTTTAAGATTTATATATACATACAAGAACTGGGTACAGGCCAGAGGTGTGGGAGGTGAGAGGGTTCACTAGAGACAGAGTGTGGAGCAGAACAGGCAGTTGTACTCAAATACACTGCTGAGGGGAACAATGGGCAGGTCAGGAGAGGTCTCCTGCACCCTGTGGGGGGACACCTCCCTGGCCAGGGATCAAACGGATAGCTTTATAGTGCTGTGCTTTAACCTGTTGTGCCACCAGGAAGGACCCTGTGTTCAGGATTTTAATCTTTTGTTTCAAGTAGTTATATGACTTTGAGCAAATGGCTTGATTTTTCTGGAATTGACTATATAGTTTGTAAAATGTGTGGGGTTTTAAAACAGTCATTTAATGTCTCTTACATCCCAGACACTTTTTGTGTCCAGCTAGTCCTTACATGGTATGGGTAGTTCCCAGTTTCATAGATTAGGAAACAGGATGTAGAGAGGGGAATGGTTTTTTCTAAATCACTAGAGTGGGACCTGAAAACCAGATGTTTCCAAAGCCCTAAGTTTTACATACTATCTTAGAATCACTTAATTCAAAATTATATAGTTTTAGGATCTCTCCAGCTCAAACATCAAATGATAACTTTTTTTTCCAAATGGCTTTAAGAAATATTGAATATTTTTTCCTAACAGTTTGCTTTGTTTTGCAGCCCTAGGATGGTCCCAGCCATGTGATGTCTGGAGTATAGGCTGTATTCTTATTGAATACTACCTTGGATTTACTGTATTTCCAGTAAGTGACTGATTTATTTCAGTGGTTTTGTGTGAGAAAATAGTCTGTTGATACACGAATTGTTACTATTTTTAAATCTTTTGTAAGTGAATACTTCATCCCAAAATACACATTTACATAAATTTTCTTCTTGTTATATAGACATTATAGCTGATCGTAAGGAATTAAAAATCCTGTAATTCCAGCACTGTTGGGTATTTGTATTTCCTTCATAATGTACCATTCTACTTTAGGAAGATTATTTTTAAATGTTCTGTATTATTTTATTTTTGTGTCGAAGAAAGTGTAAATTATTTAGGGAATCATTGGTGAGCTTGTCTCTAAGGCCTTAATATTTTGTTGTGAGTTGTTATTAGCTAAAACTATATAGACATTTTTAAGTGATTCATCTTTTGTGAGTTCAAATCATCTATTAACTAGAAATATAAATGAGAACAAAACATGTACAAAGAACAGCTAATTAAAAAAGGGTTTTTAAAATTATTTTAGACTCATGATAGTAAGGAGCACTTGGCGATGATGGAAAGGATTCTTGGACCTCTACCAAAACACATGATACAAAGAACCAGGTATGTTTTATATACCTTGGCCATATGTTCTGATGAAAATTCCATAAAAGAATGAAGTGTAATTTTTTTTACTTTTAAGCAGCACCTTACCATTCTAAGGGAGAAGCCAGTAATTATTTCTAGGTCTTTTTTTAAATCTTTTTTTCTAAAAAGTATTAAGCTTCCAGCTATAAAAGTACACTGAATAATTAAATCAGTCATTGTTGCTGAATGCTAAAAGTTCTCGGTACCAATGTAAACATGGATGGATATTGGCTTATTCTTAGGAAACGTAAATATTTCCATCATGATCGATTAGACTGGGATGAACATAGTTCTGCCGGGAGATATGTCTCAAGACGCTGTAAACCTTTAAAGGTAAGCTTGGGTCGTTGCTCAAGTGACTAAAACCTTGAGTTTTTATGGTGGAGAAATAAAATGACAGTAGAAAGCAGGTAGAAAGAACTGTTCTCTTTTTTTTTTCTCAGGAATTTATGCTTTCTCAGGATGCTGAACATGAGCTTCTCTTTGACCTCATCCAGAAGATGTTGGAGTACGATCCGACTAAAAGGATTACTCTGAAAGAAGCATTAAAACATCCTTTTTTTAACCCCCTTAAAAAAGTACTGTAGATCTATAATTGTACAGCTCTTTAAAGAGATCTTATAGACTGTATCAGTCTGATTTTTAAATACTAAGTTATTTTGTACAGCTTTTGTGAATCTTACATTTTTGTATCTACCATGTTTATTTTGTTTTAGTAATTTGAATTAACTGTATAGCTAAGTAAATCTCTTTTTCATTAATTATTGTATAAAATGATTTATCCAGAATAAATTTTTTGTGCTTAATGAAATTTATATAAATCTGTAGCTTTGAGTTTTTTTCCCCTGCCATTTTTCCTATCTCTGTCACTTTAAGATTTATTTTTATTGGGGCCTCCCTGGTGGTGCAGGGGTTAAGTCTCAGCACTATGAAGCTATCCCACAGCCACTCCCTGGCCTGGGAGGTGACCCACATGGCGCAGACCTCTCCTGTCTTATTGCTCAGGGGAGCAGTAGGCATTTCAGTAGCTTCTCCTGTTCTGCTCCCTACTCTGTCTCTGGTGAACCCCCACACCTCTGGCCTACACCCCAGTTCTTGCAGGGATTAACCAGAGACAGCAAGGAGCAGAACAGGTAGATTGACTGAAATATACTGCTGAGAAGAGCAGTAGTCTGTGCCAGAGGTCAGCTCCCTGGTGGGGATTGAATTGGGGCTGCAGAGATGGTGCTGAGGCTTAACCCCTGTGCTACCACAGAGCACCCCTATCTCTGTCACTTTAAAGAATTGTAAAACAGATTTGTAGGAAAAGGAAAAAAGAGCAGATGGTTTCACTTGGAGGAGAGAGATATAGGGGAACCAAAATAGGAACTGGGAAAAGGAGACAAAACTAGCAGGCAAACAAGCCTGAGACAGGCTGCGGGAAAGGGGAAAACAGGTAAGAGCACAAGAGACGATAGTGAGGGTTCACAGGTGACTGGGGGATTTTATAGGACTACACCTGAGGAGAAATCAAACGGCGTACAATAATGAACAATGATGTAAGAAATACATATAAATGCATACATTAAAAAAATTTTACATTAAAAAAATTTTCGGGCCCTCCCTGATGGTTCAAGAGGTTAAAGTGTAGCACTGTGAAGCAATCTAAAGCCACTGCAACATGATTTTGATCCCAGGCAGGGAGACGACCCACGTGGCATGGCAGACTTCTCCCATCCTGCCTACTGCTCCCCTCAGTAGGTCGTCCTGTTCTGCTCCCCACTCTGTCTCTGGTGAACCCTCTCATTCCCTCTACCTCTGGCCTGTACTCCAGTTCTTATATGCATAAATTTAATTTTTTCTCAGGTTTCCCTTAGACTCTGGAAATACATAATTTGTTTCCATTTTAGCATTGGGGCTTAACACTTCCCTTCTGTCAGACACATGAAAACAAGTTACAGAACACAGATTAGCTAAAACAATTTTATTTCCATTTAAATTTGGTATTGCTGGTTGTCCTCCTGAATATGATGCTGCAAATTGCCTAAGGCCTTACGCTCCTTCAGAACTGATGATAGAGAAGCTTTTAGAAATCTTTTCAGTCAAGTCTGACTGACCCAAGTGACTAGTAAGTCAGGGTTTTGTTTGTAGTTTTATCTAATTCATCTAGAGATGTAGGCCAGTGCAGGTATTCACAGCTTAACCTCTTATCAACATTTACTTAGTAGAGTACATTTACTAAAAGTAATTCTTATTGATTTTTGGTTTTGCATAGAACTAGGCCAGAAGTACAGGGAAGGTGAGAGGATTCACTGGAGACAGTGGGGAGCAGAACTGGTGGATATACTGAAATTCACTGTTAAGGGAAACAGTAGGAGAGACAGAAGAGGTCTGCTGAGCCATGTGGATGGTCAGCTCCCTGACTGGGGGTTGAATTCAGGCTGTAGTAATAGTGCTGAGACTTAACCCCTAGGCCACCAGAGTGGCCCCCATTATGATGCCACCTTATCGGAATAGCATCTTTCACTTAAGTAGAATGTACTTTTAAGGTTTGTGTCTTTTCATAGCCTTAATGCCTTTTTTTAAAACATTCATGAACATGGCCCTCCCTGGTGGCGCAGCGGGTTAAAGCACTGCACTAAGAAGCTTAAACCACTTCCACATGAGTTCGATCCCCGCCTGCCCCGGAGGTGACCACATGGCGTGGCAGACCTCTCCTGAGCTGCCCGCTGCTCCCCTCAGCAGTG